AAAATAGATAATATTTTTTTTTGCACTTTTTTAAAATGTATGATTAAAGATTAGGAATAAAAAATTTCTTCTTTTTTCTTGTAATGCAAATAGTTTCTATGAGTATTAAATTTTCATTTCAAGAAATTATTTCATCACATTTAGAGGATTTTAGATTAGAATTTAGAAACAAATAATTTCATTTCCTTTTTTCTTCAGATTGTATAAAAATTGTTGATGCAAATCTAAAAATAATTATTCAGAATATTATGATTAGAATTTTATAAAGAATAGTATTCTTTATAATTTGTTTAAAAACTTCTCTTGAAAAACTGGAAATAATAATTCTTGTGTTCTTATAATAACGCATATTTTCTTTTGTTTAATTTTATAATTAAATAACAGAATGTTGCAATATTACAAAACATTATTTTGATATGATTTTAAGAAAAATAATTATATTTTTTTATAATTACATTAAAAACCAAAACAAAATAAATTTTCTTTAATAAATCATAGATCGCCATTGAATTTAATTGGTTGTGAAATATCTACCTATATTTTATTCGATAAACATTAAACATGAAATCAGAAAAGATTATCACTCTTTTAACTTCTTCTAACTTCTATTAAACCAATTAAAAATAATAATAATCTGTGAATCATTAATATTTAATAAAACAAAAGTTTTATTAAAAGAAAAAAATGATCATAAAATTATAACGAGAAAATTAACTCAAAGAATTTTCTCATGTTTTCCCAATTCTTGGAAGCGAAAAAAAGAAAAATATTTTTCTCAAATTTACAAACTTTCAAATCTCTTGTCATTGTCATTAACAACGTCTACCTTATTTCCTCTGATAAGGAAAAATTTCTCTTTAATTCATTAATTTCTCTCCTTCTCTTGAAGAAAAAAAGAAAAAAGAAAAAACATAAAAAACAAAATAAAACCTGGCTTATAGAATTCAAGTGATGTCGAGTAGAGAATACGAAATTACCCACGGCCGTTTAAATTTCTCAAGGATCCTCAACAGCCGCAGCCCCGTTTCCGGATTTTGCGTTAACGACTCGCTGACTTCCGTCGACCGTCCTTTAGCCTCGAAACGATTCGTTTCCGCCCATTTCATGGCTCACATCCATCCCGAATAATGATCAACGATTCTTTTTTTTTTTTTTTTTTTTTTTGTTTGTTTTTCCAGACGAAACAAATCTCTTGCCTTGGAAGAAAAAAATCCAACAAAGCATCAGATTTGATGCGATCCTTAAACACTATAATTTTCACGGAGATCGTTATATATATTTTTAATTGAAACATATTACATATTTTGTTAGAAGGATTGATTTTTTTTCTGGATATTATAGGAGGAATTTTTTCAGTTTGGTTAATTTAATTTGTGGTTTTTTTTTTTAATTTTTTCGAATTAAGAAGAATTTTTAATGTCACTGAAGTTGGTTTTTAGAAGTGATAAAGAATCAAGAATAAAGAAGCAGATTCCGATACTGTACAAGTGGCTTTAAGTAGTACAAGTCAGCGATAAATTGTGGAGACACAAGTTCAATAATAGTTCGCTGAATTTTATGATAGACTATAGGTACATAGACTATAGGTTGAAAGAAGAAATTTACAATATGTTTTTATTAATTAAAACATATATTTCTTTTCTACTTTTCTCGCCTGAGAAATTTTAATATTAATTTTCAATTAATTTTATGACAATAGCCACAGATTAATCGCATTAGAATTGTTTAAGAAAAAATTAAAGTAATGAAGAAATATTTATTCTCTAAGATTTATTTCAAATAGAATAACTCAATGATAAATGAATCAAAACGCGATTTTATTATTATATATTCGATTTAAGTAGTTTGTATGTTCGAAAAAGATTATGTTGTTGTATTTGTATGTTCGAAATATCTTTAATTATATTCGATTACTTATTTTTAATTTAAAAGATTTTTTAAATATTTTTTTAAATATAAAAATAGAAAGAATTTTTATTTTTTAGAAAATTTCTCGGTCAAATTTTTCACGATATCAAAACTGTATATAGATAAGATAAAACTTAGAGAAAGAAAAGTTTGGACATTTTAGAACTGTACTGTACTACATCTTAAGTAGTACATCTCAGCGATAAAATAGCATTGTCTACTTATAAGCTTATACATTATAATCGCGTAAGTAGTACGACTTAATAATAATAAACTTTCTTAAAATTCGAGGATGGTGAAAAGACAGATTCGAAAAACTATTTCAATTTCAAAGTTTTCACAAGATTTATATCGAATTCTTTCTCGAATTCGATACATGTACACATATATACTATGTACAAAAAGTGCAATGGAAATGGAAATTTTTATGAGCAAACTTTCATCTGATTCAGCATAATATATAAAAATATATAAACAAAATATATAAATAGATTTGAAAACTTGTCTCACTGGCTCATTCTTTTTTTCATCTTGGGAAAAAAAAGGAAACTGATTTCACTTTATGCACTTCAATCAGAACAATTAATTAAATTTTATTAACTCATGAGAAATATGAGACATTTATACATATTCCACCATATTCTACATATGCAAGAAACATTAATAATTAAATTAAATTAAATCAAGAAATCTTTTTTTAAGACAGACATGAACTTTCGAATTCTTATTTTTATACCACGAGAAGATACGAGATATAAAAAAATAATTATAATATATTTATACATATCTCAAAATTTCATTAGAAAGTTAATATTATTATATTCTTTTGTCTAATTTAAATTATATTTATAATTTAACAAATACATTAAATGTATATCAACTTTCTTTCTCGATCTTTAAAATTGATATTATGAATATATATACACATAACACACATACACACACACATATATATATAACTTTTCCAATTCCAATGCAACAACTTCTTTAATCGAAGCCATCGATATTGAAAAATCTCATGAGATTAAAAGAGGAGATCCCTTCCATCATCAATATCGTCTCAATATCGTTATCTTCTTCGACGACTCGATTTATTTGATCGTGGAATCGATCACATCCATCATTTTCATCAAGGAGAGAGGGAGAAAGAAAATCTCTCCTTTATCCTCGTGAAAGCCAGTTTAACGAGTAGGTGTTACAAATCGATTCCTTGATGTCTTCTCTCGTTCAATGATCAATGGTGAAGTTTATGTTATATATAGTATATAAAGTTTTCAGTAAGTCTTCTAACTTCTTCCGCGAAATTTAGAAGGGCGAAGAAGAAAATTGGAAATCGATCAACGAAGAAAGAGGAGGAGGAGGAGGAGAGAGGAGGAGGAGGAGAACATCGAGAGAAGATTCATGTTGGTTGATAAGTTGAGAGGAACGGGTGAATAGGCGAAATACAATTTTTAGATGCGTGCATTAAACCACTGGGGGATGGCGTTAGCTAGTGATTTTATGAATAAATTTGGAATAAAAATTCACCTGATATCGAATGTTGATATTTTTCTTTTTTTTTTTTTTTTATCATTTGAAATTAGAGTGAGAAATAAAATTTATTAAAGAAGGAAGAGGAATTTTCAGTTGATTAGATTAATAATGATGTTATTAAAAATTATATGTTAAAAATGATATTGAATTGAAATTCTGTATGAAAATTTATTTAGTATGGAATATGAATTTTTTTTGTCAATTTGATAGTCAAAATTACGAGATAAAATTTATGCAAGAATAAATTTTTGGTATATCAACAAGAATGATGTCATGTAATAAAAAATTAAAATTTAAAAAAAATTAAATTACGCTGGAAATTCTAATTTTATTATTGTGAATTTGCTGAATCATATAGAAAATGGCGATGAGAAAGGTAGAAAATTTGTTAGGAATTAAAAATAAAAAAAAACAAATATCGTTCAAGGATTATTGCCAATTTTCACTTCAATGTCAGACAATTAATGTCAATTCTTTTGTAACCTGACATATTTGCCAGATAATCACCAGCAAATAATCTTATTTGAAACTTTTTTCACGTTTCATTGTAAAAAGTGGAAGTTTAAAGAGTTTAAAGAGAAAAAAAACATTGAACGATTGTTTGAAAATTCTTTTCCAAGCTTAATATTCAATTCTTTTTTATGATGACAAAAATTTCAGGTTTTTCATTTTGGTTAAATAATTTTATATTAATTAAATAGAAAATTTATAAAGTTTCGGCATTTAACATCATTTTCCTCCTCAAAAGTTGTTTTAATAAATAAAATGGAAATGAAATATTTAATTATTAATTTGTATGATATATAAATTTATTGTGTAAAAAAAAAATTAAAATTTTTTGTTTTTAAACAATTCAATTCTATAATTTCTTTTTTTAAATTTTTTAAATTATTATTGAATATATATTATTAATTATATTATTAAAAATTATTATTAAATATTTTATAATTAATTAAATTCACATGTTGAAATTATTAAAGGTAAATTTCTTTCTTTTTTTTTTTGCTTATTATATATAAATATTATATGTTGCTTTGAGAAGAAATCCTTTGGGATGAAAGACCATCATGCAATGTTATGATATTTCTAGATTTTATGAATATATATCTATCAGAAGCAATAAGATGAAATCTGCATTTCATTCAAAGTACTTCGCTATAGCATCGTATAGAATATACTTCATAATAAATTAAATTTACTATTGATATTTATTTTAGTTTTAAAAATTCGTTTCAAATTTTCTTTAAAAAAATATTTTTTCAATTAACAATTTTATAATTCTTCTTTTTCAGATGAACATCATAAATGAACCAATTATCTTATAATTCAGCCCAAGGCACAAATTTTATTCTCAATTTGAAATTCAGATATCATAAAATTTATCTTAAAACAATTCTCTACTCTTCTCCATTATAAAAATACATTTTTGAAATTTTTCCAAGTTTTAAAAACAGATGAAAGAATGAGTATATTTTCCTAATTGAAAAACAAAATTACAAATAGAAAAATATACAAATTGAAATTTCTACAAGATGAATTCGAAATTCATTTAAAAATGATCAATATAAGATGTTAGAAGCGATGAAAATGAATATCTTAATCGAATTTTGATTTATTATTTTGTACCCATTTTTCTTATCGCGATCGATTATAACATGGAAAGGGAGTAACGAGTGTAACAGTGACAATAAAATTATTCTGGCCTCTGATAAAGCGAGAACAAGTACAAAGAGGCAACTCGAAACAGTCCACTAGCACAGAAATTTCTTTCTTCTTTGTTCGAGCGTTTCTCCGCTCGAGATAAAGCATTCAACCAGCCAGAATTCAGCTTGTAGAGATAGAGGAAACAGAAACGGGGTTGGTTACGGGGAAATCCCGGAATTGAAATTCGATTACGCCTGGCAAAGAGAAGAAATTGGTAGAATGAAGAAATGAAGAAAGAGGAGGGATACGCGTTGTTTACGTGTGATTTATCGAGCTTGTGACGAGTGAGGATGCAGAGGCAAAAGGAAATAAAAATGGATAATTAAAAGAAATATGGATGTCGCTAATGCAATTAAAAATAATACGCCGGATTTCTGCAGCGCGAGATATAAGAATTTAATGCCTCTGGAAGGTGGTGAGTATATTCGAAATATATTTTAATATTTCTTTTAGAATTAAAATTTTTTTTTTCATTTCTTTGAAAACTAGTGATTTATTTGAATTCGTTTTGATAGAAATATATAGGGAAATAAGAGAAGAACTAATTTGAAAGAAATTAATTCTGGAATAAAAAAAATACGAATGGAATGAAATTATCTTGTGCAAATAAGATATTGAATATGTTGCAAAAGTCATATTAAAGAATTTCATCAATTAAAGAAAAGTAGAACAAGGACGTTAAAAAACTAAAACAAGTATCACAGAGGAAATTCCAGTAAAAAGAAGGACACAGAGATCTTGGAGATTCGGTCTTAAAGAAACAGCTTTGGGAATTCTCCCTGATAATATATTTTTTTATTTTTCAATCTTGAACATTTTTTATAAAAATACAATGATAACAATAATACAAACTAATTACCAATATTGTAAAAATTTCGACAAACAGAAAAATTCCAACAATTGTAAAAAAAATATTATGTATACAATATTAATCAAAAAATGGGAAATTGAAAGAAGAAATTTCTATATAATACAGCAGGGACAAAAAAATAGCGAAACATAATCAATAAAAAATCAAATCTGCTTGCAGGAAATAGTATAATTTATTCCAGCTACCATGTGAAATTCAAAGACATTCATATACCGATATATCAAATTGTATAAAACGCCAACGCGTATATCACTCGTGTGACAGTAATACCTTATACGGATCTATCGTTTCTTTTTACAGAGTTGTGGTGCGAGCCAGTCTGGGACTCGTTACTCTGTTGGCCGCCGACCAAAGCTTCCACTACAGCCAAACAAAGATGCCCGTACGAAGATGGATTCGATACAACCAGTAAGTACGATATTATATTTAACGAATGTACATTTAAATTGTTCATTAATGTTTCTGATGTATGTACACGCAAAAAGGAACAGATATAGAAATATTGGAAAACGATTGCAATTCAAATACGATTTGATGTTAATCTAAATTATTTCATCAGTTTAAATAATTGAGAAAATTGAAATTGTCGTTTGAAATTAATAATTTTATTTGATCCTGTATTTAGATGATTTATAGATACTTTATTTAGAATATTTAGATATTAAAAGAATAATATATATTAATAATATATTTAGATTTATTAGATATGATATAAATTAATTCGTATGCACATATGAGAGTTATACGCGAATCTTTCAATATCGATTTATAGAAAGTTATAAAAAGTTTTATACAAAAAATTTTTATGAATTCCGTTTTCGATTTATTTTTTCATGTATTTTTTCATGCTTTTTACAAAAAGCGCAAAAAAATATAATCAAATGGAAATTCTGAAATTATGAAAAGATAAGAAAAAAAAAAGAAAATAAATAAATGTATTTATACATTTAACATAAAATGGCAAACAAATAAAGAAGAAAAGATTTTGATATTTGAAATAGTTTAATTTTTTCAGAAATAGATTTATTTAAGCCAAAAAAAGTTAATTATATCGTATTTTTTTTATAAAAATAATGAATATATATATGTTAGGATTCTTATTTTTTTAAAATAATATTAAAATAAAATTTTACGTATTGCTAATATCCTTGATTAAGTTCTTTTTCCATCGAGATGTTTCCATTTATCGTAAAAAAAAAAAAAAAAAAAAATAGAACGCATTCGACAAGAATAAATCAGTGAAATAAGTGGAAATTTAATATAATTAGTCATCGAAGCGAAAAAAAAAATTCTAAAAATAAATTCTTAATAATTTAAGTCTCGTTTTTAATGAGACGCTAAATGTGGGGAGAAGGAAAATAAAATGCTTTCTGCATAAGAGAAAAAAAAGACATCAAAAATAGAAATGTGAAAAATAATTCTAGGAGAATAAATTACTCGTAAGTTTGAAGTGTTTTTAAAAAAATAGTAAAAATAAGAATTTAAGAAGATATTCTATAAAAAAATCGATAAAAAAGATATTAGAAAAACAAGAAACATTCTGAATAATGGTTCAGTATATTTTGATTAAACTTTGTTTTCAATAAATATCAAATATAAAATGAAAAAAGAAGAGAAAGAAAAAAAAATTTTTTGGAAGAATAATTATATATTAGATTTAGTTAAGATTTATTTCCAATAAATCATTAACTTGGAAATAAAAAAAAAGAACTAAGAAAAGCTAAAAAAAAATATTCTTCTGATATAATTTAATAAAAAAGTTAATAATTAAATTCATATTATCAAAGTAAAATAAAATTCTAAAAAAACCAGTTTATCTTATTATTATTTTTCAATTTTCTTTATTTGTACTGAAATTTTTGATTGATGAATGAATAGTATTAAGTATTTATATTAAGTAACTATAACTAACTATATTATTAATCTAATTAGAATGAATTAAAAATGTATAAGGTAAGATAAAGATATATAAAAATATATAATAAACTTAATAATTTATAATATTTATATAAATGTTAAAAAAGATTTAAAAGATTTCTTTTGTCATTATTATTTATAATTAATTATGTCATTATTATATATATTATATATAATTAAAGAAAAATCTAAGCTTTGAGAGAGTTTTTCGGCATTATTGATTAATTAATCCAACTAGTGGAAAACTTTGAAATTCCTTAGGCACCATTTGCATGGAAGATTATTCCCGAAAGAATGTTCATTCATTTCACGAGCCACATCAACACAAAATTTTCAAATGTTCATTTTTTAATTAAGAAAGGAAAAAAGAAGAGATTTTCCCTTTTTTTTTTTTTAATTTATAATATATATATATATTTTTTAACTTATTCAGAGATGAAAAATTCCTCGTAGATAATTCCATTTATATACCAAAAAAGGATTTTCGACATACTGATAAAATATCTAAATTATAGAATATTTAAGTTATAATTAGTTATAATATATATATATATGTATTTGTAATAGGAAAAACATTTTATACATTTTGAAATTTTAATAATTGTATTTTTTACAAAATTGTATTAAAAGTTTTTATTTTTTTTATTCTATTATCTTAATTTTATATCAATTTATTTATAATTTTCATTTTAAATTTTTATTTCTAATTGCAATCTAATTCCAGTTTTAAATTAATAAAAAAAATTATACATATATTTATTATAAAAAAAGAATTAAATTGTTTTTGAATTTGATAAAAAAAAATTCTTCAAAGAATTTTTAAATTTTTCATTTTAAAATTGAATCATTCCTCGCCATTTAATGAATGCACATAAATTTTCCACTTTTCCACATGTAAATGGATGAAACTTCGCTCCTCAAGGAACTAAACTGATCCCTCAGATTGTGCCAGGCTTTTTGAATAATTATACCAATTTTTACTGCGTATCATTGAAGCTCAATTTGCATTTCATCCCAGCAACAAGTATTCTTGATTGCTTTTAACTTCCATCTAATTACCTGATTTGAGAAGAAATTGTCTGTCTAAAAAAGAAAGGAATCGAGATTGCCCAAGGCTAGACATTTAAATTTGATAAGAGAAGAAAAAAGGGGGAGGGAAAGATAGTTGGTTTTTAACAATTGAATATTATTTATGTTATTTTAATAATTTTTTATGTTTTTATATTTTAAAATTTAAATGAAATTTTAGAAATTAATTAATTAAATTTAGAAATGGATTTCAAAAGATTTTTTTAATTTTCAGATTTTAAAATTCTTTAATTTTTTGTAATTTCTATTTCTTCATATTTTTTAAAAGCTTAATGCATGTTAAATGATCTTTTAATCGTGGCTTTAAAAATTTTTGATGTAGATTATAAAAACTATTTTTATAAAATGTAAATTTTCAAGAATTTTTGCAATCAAAATTTTTTACATTCTGGAAATCTTGGAAATCTTCTGGAAAATTAATTGATAGATTTTGGAAATGAAATAGCAAAATGTAATTGAACATTTCACAAATTGTAATGAAGAATTGTAATAAAGAATTAATTATGAAACTTATTAAGATTTCAATAATTAATATTGAAATTAGTATTGAAATATAAAAGTAAGTTACAAATTGATGTATGACAGGAACTTTATGTTAGAAACAAGAAAGAAACAAGAAGAAACAACAAATTCAAGTCAAAATTGAATTTGGATTTTTATCTTAAATGAAAATCATCAATCACAATTTCTCAATTTATACTCAACATTTATAAAAATCTGAATAAATGTACAATTCGAAGAAAAGAATAAAGAATTCTTGAAAGATATAAAGAAGAATCAAATTAATATTTAAATTAAAATTTATTATTAATAATAAGAAGAGTCTTAAATGTTAAAAATCAAAATTTAAAATCAAAGAAAAAATTAAATTATTTAATTAACATTAAAGAAAAAAAGAAAGAAGACAAGATCTTTGGGAAATTCATAAATCACAATTTCTATCCAATCACTAATTTCTTTAGAAAACTACAAAAGCCAGTACTGCAAATAACAGAATCACAACCTTGAACCATCTACGATCTCTAGAAATGTAACATATTCGAGGACGTTGGAACAAAAAAAAAAAAAAAGAAAAAGGAAAAAAGCAGAAGAAATTTACATGGCGGAGATTAACGTCGCACGAGATGTGACTATTGTCGACGATTTCTCTATTCTCAACAGTGTATTCGATTCAATCTCGCTTTCGTGTTAACTGCGCTACGACCTGGATGCAAATTTCTTGTGTTGTCACAATAAAATCCGACAAGGGATTTGAAAGTATCCTAGCCGATAGATTTAATACGGTTCAATGTCGAATCATCGTTTGATTTATCCAATAAGTATTCCTCTCCTTCTTTCTCCTAGAGATTTACTTATTCTTGTAGAACTTAATTCTCTTGAATTGAGAAAGAAATTCTTACAACAAATATTTGATCAACTTTAATGAAGAATTTTAATAAATTGAAAATGTGTTTCTTCTTAAAAGTTTCGAGATAACACGTTTTTTTTCCTCGTCGAATTATAAAATTATGATTCTACATTCTAAATATAATTAATCTAGTGGTATATTGATGTAAAAAAATTTCTTACAAGATACGTATATACGTATCGATTTCTAAAATGTAATGGATTAATATATTAATTTTCAGCTCAAATCTAATGAAACTCTGTTTGAATTGTATAATTGTTTAATTTCCACCTACATTAACTAAAGAATACTTTGCACGCGGATATTTCATGATAGCAAACGATATTGTTTAACATCGAGAAAGGTTTCACAAACAATTTCTAACCAAATTCAAACTTAGTCGAAGTTACTATAGTTATTAATTTTGAACCAGTGTACTTACTTTAACCGAATAATATCTTAAATTTTACTCAAAATCTAATCAAACGATGTAGCTATCTAATCTCAGTCTGTTTCAATTTGGAATATTTCGTAACTTTATATGTGAAATACTAATTTAAACTAATCTAAACTATTTAACATTGATCTATAATTTTATTGTTTATTGTGATGTGATTGTTTCAATCATACACATCACATTCTATACATCAAATATTATAAATAATTAAATTCAATCTATATTTTCTAATATAGTCAGTAATGTACTGTTTTATTTATTCAAGTAAGTAAATAAATAAATGTATCTACAAATAAACAATTTATAATTTGTTTATGCATGCGATAAACTGTTATTTCAAAGTAGAGAAAAAAATACAATATAATGAAAATGAAAAATATTTTTCCCTAATGTAAATAAACAATTTCTAAGTAATTTCTAATTGCATTTGAAATGATAATTATAGTTTATTCGAGGAAAATTTCGCTAAATCCACTTTCAATCCTATTCGAAACTTGATTGAATATATAGTTGTTTATCGCCAGTCAGCTTTAACTTTAACAGGAGAATATTTCACAGACGGACACATTGATTTCACAGCCAGGTTTCACACACACGTGACACTTTACTTGAACTTGCCTCTCAGCATTTGTGACATACAACTTCCGTTTCGACAATGACAATAATACAGAGAGATAGAATGAAAATCTGGAAATCTCGGGCACTCGACCTATTTCTGTACATTTTGATTGCACTCGATAATATCACAACACGTCAACGCTAACTGCATAAACAAAGCCATTTCCACTGCAACTTTTTTTTGCATTCTTTTCTACATATTATGTTATTAACAGAGACGTTTAAGAAATTAATTTTATAAATTTATCAATATTTATACGTTTATAGACTCTGTATTTTGAGATTAGAAAAGAAAATTTTAATCAAACTAAAGAAGTTACCAGATAGTACAAAAAATAAATGGATAATATATGTATATGTACATAAAGGATCTTTAATGTTATATTAAAAAAAATTATAACAATAATCATCCAGATGTTATTAAAACTTTGATATATTGATATTTTTATATGCTTTTTACATACTATTATATATAAAAAAATATATGTATAATATAATTTGTTATATAAAGTTTTCATCTTTTTTTTTGTGAATGTTTTCTGAATTCAAATTGAAATATAATTTTATGATATAAAATATTATATAATATTATATTGTATATATTATATTATAATATATAATATTATGATATAAAATAATATTGTATTGATGAATATTTATTATCTTTATGATAAAAAGAAAAAACTGTTAAAAACAAATATTTTTCATCAGAGTTATGTTTTTTTGCTTTCGCTAGTTATTTATTTTGCACCAAATACTTTAGTATTCTGATAAAGCTTTTTAAAACTTCCGAAACTGATAATAAATCTTTCTCGATAACGATGCTTTCAACATTTCCGTGGTGAAAGTTTTGTTTTAATCCAAAGCTTAGTTTTATGTTGAGATTGATGGGATCAAAAGACGGTAATATTTAATATATAATTAATAATAATTATATAGAAAATATTTCAAAAATAAGTTGAGATGTTCTTTGTAAATAGCTGATCAAATTAATTAGTCAAATTAGTAGTCAAGTAGTCTTAAGCATTGTTTTCCTGATAACACTGAGAAAATGAGATACAAATGAGAGATAATTTGATATAATGTTTGTTTAGAATCTGTGGAGAAGAAATGTGGATATAATGGCCGTTGGGAGGGTCAGAACGGAACAAACAACGATTCTTCTCATGGATGGGCAAACTACACGACTTGTATGACACCGGAAATGCTTCGATTACATGGAAAAGTTTACACTAATGCCATTGAGGGTAATGTGAGTATATGTAAAAGTTGAGATTATGAAAGTGAAATTAATAAATGAGAATGAAGAAATATTGTTGAATTAATTTTCACAATGTAATTGGTATCATTTTTAATAAAAATAGATATGCATTTATTGAATAAAATAAATTAAAAAAAAAATACAAAAGGAATAAAAAAAATGTAATTTATAGAAAATAAAATTAATAATTTTTTATTTTCAATGCAATTTTTATTTGAATATAATAATAAGAATATAATTTTTGTATTAATCATAAATTATATAATGCTTATATTTAATGAATTTTTAGTGAGATGAAATTGAAATGGATATTGGAAATATTAATAAAAAAAAAAATCGGTAGAAATTAAATATTGTAATAAATCGAAAGCGAATGAAAAAAAATTTGTGAAAAATAATTCCAGTTTGATAGATTATTTTCAAGATATTTTTCATTTCACGAAATATGAAGATAATTTGTATTTCCTTAATATAAAAATATTAGCAAATTTCTTCTTTTGTCTTTCAGATGAAGCTGGATATTGCTGAGAAAACTCGTACCTTAGAGTTCGTGGGTTTAAGCATCTCTTTAGTAGCACTATTTGCTTCACTTGCCATATTCTGTCGTTTTAGGTAAATTATTTATTCATTTTATATTTTTTGTACTTAAAAAATAATTTTGGAAATTTATATATTCACTATATAAATCTATAATAAAATGAAAATATTTAATTTAATAAATAATTTATAATAAATGAAATACATTTCATTGTAAATAAAATAAATTTATATTTTATCCTATTTATTTTCTGTAATAATTAAAAAAATGTATTAAAGATCACGTAAAAATAAAAACTATTTAAAATATATATTTTATTTCAAATATAACTAATAGTATCTATTTAATTTCTATTGTAAATAGATTTATTATAAAACAATATATTTTTTTTAATACACAACAATCATTTATTTTTTATAAAAACATATCAAATATATTTGCGCCACAAAAAAGTTTATTTTTATATAATGTAATGACAATTCTAATTGCGTCATATTGTTTCCAAAATATAGAAAATTTATTTATTTTACAAATGAGATGTAAAAATTCAATATTTTCTTCATTAAGCGAGCGTGCTATTATAATGTAAATAAATTATGTGAGATGAAGTTCTATTGATATTTACGTGAAACAGGTCCCTGAGAAACACCAGAACTAGAATACATAAGAACTTATTCGTCGCCATGGTCGTTCAGGTTTTGATTAGATTAACGATCTACATAGATATCGAAATCTTGAGGAAGAAAACTTATGGCATTCAACGAGGCATAGGAAACACCGTGAGTGTCTTTCTTAATTTCTAAAATTTAAATTTTCTTCTTGCTTCTTTGAAAATTGGAATTGTTAATTTTATTATTTATTTTATTTATTTATTTATTATTTTGTTAAATTTTATTATGTCGGTAATTATTATATCAATACAGATCAAGAAGAAATAATTGTATAAAATTATTTAAAGAGATTAATATTTATTTATTGAATAATTAATTAATAATTATTTATAAATAAAATTTAAATTCAACCGCTTTTATTTTCGAAGAATTGCAAAGTCATTTCTTTGAATAATCAAATATTGATTTCGCGATATAAATTTGAGATTAAATAATTTTCGATATGATGATTTGTCTTTTAAAGAAATTTATTTACTTTATAAATTTTTTTTCTCTTACAGCCTGTACTTTGTGAAGCCAGTTACGCACTTTTGGAATATGCCAAAACTGCAATGTTTATGTGGATGTTTATAGAGGGACTGTTCCTTCACAACATGGTCACTGGTAAATTAATGAACAAAATATTCTTCAAATTTTCTTTGGAATTACCAATAAGAACATTCAAGATATTGAAGAGTAAACTTTTCCATACCTATTTTCATAATTTTAAGATATTTCAATGTTACCAATTAAAGGTTTGATTTCTCTTGAGTTCATATTAGAAAAAATTTCTTTTACTTGAAATAAAATGTTCTACTAATGCTATTGTCTCTGTGTTAAAATTGATTCAATGAAAATCATATTATAACATTTACAATTTTTATTTATGATATAACATTAATTCAATATATTTTATATAATTAATAATTATATTTATAATTTATATAATTAATGATTATTATAAAATTAAAAATTCAAAAAATTAAAATAAAAAATTTTCGAAAAAACTATCATTTAAGTACTTATTTCTAAGTTTTAATTAATTAACTAAATCAGAACATTGTCAGTAAAAACTAAATTCTTTTTCAATTATTATTTCAGTAACAGTGTTTCAAGAAAACTCTTACTATAGGATGTACAGGTTCATTGGATGGGGTTGTCCTGTCATGATGACGCTAATTTGGGCGATCATTACCGCGTTCTATTATCATCCAAAATCAAAGTAAGTAAAAATTAGAAAACTATGATTATAGATACGGAAATTGTTGGATAGTTATTGGATATTATATTTAAATTTTAAGTAATGAAGCTAAAATTCATTCCTAAAATAAAGAGTATTTGAAATTTTTATTCAGTCATTCATTCTGGTAGATTTGACAATTGCAAAAAATATTTGATTGGATTTAAATAGTGAAATGAAAATATTTAACAATTTTAATTTATTGCCTAAATATTTTCTTTTATATAATTTTTATATCATATTATTTTATTGTCATATTATTTAATATTTTGATTTTAATTGTTATCAATTGATTGACTAATAATTTATGTATATATTAGATTTTCCAGATGTTGGTCTGGATATAATTTGTCTTCCTATTTTTGGATCCTAGAGGGACCCAGATTTGCAGTAATATTGGTAAGTGATATTAATTTAAAAAATTCTTAAAAAATTCTTTAAAAATAAAAACCATTATACCATAATTTTAATTCTTCAGCTCAATTTTCTGTTCTTGTTGAACATTGTCAGAGTGCTCGTAGTAAAACTTCGACAAAGTCATACTAGTGAAATCGAGCAAGTCTTGTAAGTAATTTATATCACTATTTGAATTTGTTCAAACATTTATTATTAATAGTATTTGCAAATTGAAAATTTTTAGCCAAAAAATATATATATAAAATTAATAAATACTGAAAAAAGTAAATCGATTTTAGCTTTTTCAAATAATAGATAAAAAACTATAATAAAAGAAAATAATTCTGCATTTAATAAAATTATACAGTATATCTTTTTTATATCTTTTAACAAAAATTAAAAAAAATTATTTTTTATTATTTTTATTTTTCTAGAAAAGCTGTAAGAGCAGCCGTAGTGCTTTTACCACTATTGGGTATTACTAACGTGCTCTTTATGATCGAGGCACCTTTGCACAACGTAAGAAAGTTCGCGTTATGGTCATATTCCACGCATTTTCTTCAATCTTTTCAAGGACTTTTCATTGCAACTCTTTACTGTTTTCTAAATGGCGAGGTGAGAAAATTTATTTTATAAATTATAAAATTTCTATTCTTTTCATCTTAAATATTTTATATGAAGTATTTTATATGAATATGCAATTATATTTTATACTGAAAATATATGAAATTTTTTTTTAATAATCAATTCTCTACAATAATTAAATGACTCTACAATAATTAATTCATACATTATGCATGAGAAATAAACATATTTGTGAAAATACGAAAACTAGATATAAATTCTAAAAAATTATTATTAATGATTTATCACTATAGAAATATCGAAATATTCGATTAAAATTTATTTAGAAGTTATTTATTAATTATTAATTAATAATTATTTTTTAATAAGTATTGATATGAATAAATATTAACATTTTTTATAATTATTTATTTATTATTATTTATATTTATTATTTATTATTATTTCATAAAAATTATTATTATTTAATAAAGAATATTAAAAATAATAGTTCTAAATATTATATAATAAAAATATTATAAATATTATATAATAATAAACATTATATAAAAATTTATATAAAATTACTTATTTATACTATATATATAATATATAGTATATATATATTTATATTATATTTTATAGTATAGTGTATATATATATATATATATATATATATAGCAAAAAAAAAAATTAATAATCTTTTAATATTTTTCTTTTAAAATTTTATTATAAATGTATTATAAATCATAAAAAAAAGATTATTTCATCTTCGTAATTAATACAAAATTCGCGCTTCGCATATAACGTCAATGTTTATACTACAAAGTCCCATTTGTATATATAGATTTAGAAATAGGTTAAGAGGAGGGGCGTAATTATCGGATGTATGGGTCTGGCGTCAGTCTTTGTTTATCAGTCGTGGAATTTACATCGCGTTACATTTCGTTCCATTTCTAATGAAATTATATTTAAATGTATCGTAATCAATCAGTGGTCAGTGTAGTAATACGATTAAATTACTATTTCGTATATAGGTGAGACTTGCTCTGGACAAAACTATTTCCGTATATCTTTCTTTAAGAGGAACTGATTTGCAAGCAAGAAGACAGTCAACATTCAGTGGTTGTCAACCCCAAAGAATTGCGTCTGGTAAGTCAATAAAATAATTTATTATTTATTATTTATATAACTTTTGTTATATTATATAATATATAACTTAAATTATATTATATATTATATTATATATTATTATATTATATTATATTATATTATATTATAACTTAAGATCTCTATGTTTATTATAAACATTTTCATTTTTAATTTTTTTAATTTTTCTTAAAAAGTAGAAATTCTAATTTCTATAAATTGTTAGAGTTTTGTGATTTTGAAATATCTTTTAAATTTTTTATAATTTTTTAATAAAATTTTTGAAATTTTATAATTTTTTTAGGATTTTTTAATTTTTTTTTATAGAAGTGTAAATTAGAAGTGTAAATATTTATAATAGTTTTGCAATAGTATGCAATAATCATATACCAATTATACAATTTAACTATAAATCTTTAATTCCCACTGCTGATTTATTTTTTGATATTAAATAAAGCAAATGAATTAGATAAAGCATAATTGAAAATTTTCAATGCATGATAATATATTACCTCCTACTATATATTAACAAAGGAATTATATTTCTATAAATATGAATGTACTTTTATTCATTATTTATAATATTAATTATTAATATAATAATATTATTAATTAATAATATATATTATTATTAATATATTATTATTTATAATATTAATAATTAATATTATATATATATAAATATATATAATATTAATAATTATAGATATTATATATATTTAAATTTCAAATGTTAAATAATTAAATATATATACTAATATTAAAACAAAAATATCGAAATATTAATTTTTAAAAAATTTAATGAATAACAAAAAATATAAATAAACAATTAACAAATATTTTATATATACATAAATATTTTAATAAAGTAATAACATTTTTATAGAATATTACTCTTCATATTATTACAATTTTCAACAATTTATTTTTAACAATTTTCAACAATTTATTTTTAACAATTATTTTGAAATTTTCAACAATTTATTATAATTATTCAATTAATTAATATTCTTATCGGATAAATATATACATATATTTCAAATTTAATTAAGCTTAACATATAATAAGTGAAATAGAATTTTTAATTAATTAATGCAATTGATTTTAATTGAAATATTTTATAATAATTATTTTATTTAAATATTATTTTAATTTTAATAATTTTATTTACTACAATGTAAAGTTTGAAAAAAAAAATAACTAAAAATTTGAATCATGTTCTGAATCAGATTCTTTTTTTCTTATTTAAAATATCTAATTTAATATTTTTTAATTTTTCACTATTGCAATATTTAAAATTTCATACGTTCTTAATTTTTTAAATAAAATTAAAAGATTCATATAAATTTTGTAAAGATCTGTAAGTAATAAACTAATTTATTTATCCTAATAAAAATATTGTGAAAACTATTGTAAAACTTCAAATTTCTTGAATATTTTGAAATGTTGTATAGAACATTTAAAATAATAAAGAAAGCAGCATATTATTAATTCATTCGTTTTTCAATCATTGTTATTTGATTATAACAATGATTATACACATAAAAAAAAAATGAATTTAAAATTTATCCAATAGTGGTTCTTAACCTCTAAATCGCGACTTATAATTGGATCACAAAATATTTTTAAGAGATCGTTATCGTTTTTAATTATTGACATTTAACTTTTTATTTATTTTTATATAATTAGTAATAATTATTTATTATTTTATATAATTTAATAATTTTGTATAATTCGATATTAGAATTATTAGAGTACTTCTCTTCTTATATAATTTAAAAAAACATTGTTTTATTTCGCAATTTTTTATTTTTTTTATATAGATTAATAGAGTGTTTTAAATTATTTAAACATTGCAAGAAAAGGATCGTAATTTAAAGAAAGTTGGAAAACATTACTACAGAGTGTAAGAATCAGATGAATCATTTTCTTATAGCTCGATAAAGCATTCAAATTGGGAAAGGAATTGCATACGGTTTACAAAATATGCCAGTCGGTTATTCTTGTTTTGACCATTAATTCACGAAATTTTTTTTTTATTTATAATTTAAGTGTATTTAGAGATTCATTTTACTCAAATTACAGTTATCTAAATAATGTTAACAATTGTAAATAAATAATTATCTACATAGTTGACGACATTTTGAAAATATTCAAAATAATTAATATTTTTAATATATTATTATTATTAAAAAAATGCCTTTACAAAATTCTCAATTAACGTTTATTGTTTATTTATAAATTGAATAATTATATAGAAATAGTTATTGTTAAATATTAATTATTGTTAATATAAATAGTTACCCTATTTTCCAATATATTAACCCTATTTTTTAATTATAATTATATTATGTATATAATATAAATACTATAAAATTATTTTATATAAATAATTTTATTTATATTTTTTTTATAATCGTTTAAATTAAATGTAACAAATTATTCTATGTAATTATTTTCAAAAAAATTGAACGAGATGATTATATTGCAAAATACAAAATACTTACGAAATTATTTTTGAAAGAAGGTCATGAAATATTCAAAAGAGTTGTTGAAAAAGCTTAGCGAGTTTTAATCAAATTAGTGAAAGCCAGAAATCTCTTTCTATGAACTTCTCAAGGAAAAAGTTTTGTTGAAAAAGTTTTAGTTGAGATCCTTTTCTGTTGAATCGATTTCGTACGCAATTTAGGGAGTGAAAGGTTGGAATTGATCAGAAGAGAATTTAAAGTTATTTGAGAAAGCAATCAAATTGCGAAATAAAACTTTTTTTCAGTATTTCATAATACTTCTTGATTACTAACTGCTTAAAAGTAAAATTTTAATTAAATTGATCAAAATAAGAGTAAAAAAAGAATAAAAGTGTTCGTCAAAAATCTAAAAAAAAAAAAAAAAAAAAATAATAATAATAATAATAATAATAATAAAAGATAAAGGAATAAAATAGGAATAAAATACAATGATGTTCTATAATATATATAATTAAACTAAATTAAACAAATTTATTTGATTAAAAAGAAAATTCATTAGAAATTATGAATGAAGTTCTTTCTTGAATCAATAATTTGCTTTACATTTTGATTATTAATTTTTAAGATAAAAAAATTTACAAAGAAATCTTAAAAAGAAATAAAATATAACAAACTTTGAAAGAAAAACAATAGGCTATTCTTCTCTACTAATACCCTAGAATTAAATAGAATTAAATTTCTTGGCATAAAGAAATTTAATTCACTAAGAAACAGAAGATCAAGAATAGAAAAGAATAAACAAAAGAATGACAAAATAATGAATATTGATACATGCAGTGATCGAGATGGAGGAAGAAGAAATGAGATCCAGCGGATGGATAAGATTATGCTGTCGAGGTGGAAACACTCCACCGCCGGACCGACCTGCCGAGTGAGTAATGATCATGGAACAATCGCCCGCATTTAGATCATTACCAGCATCGACGGTCGATCCTTCTCGCAACATCATACTAGTAGGTAAAAATGCACAGAAGCATGTGCTGTTGCATTTCTTCTTGGCAATCTCAACTTCTATCCCAATGACCAAATGAAATTCAATGTATTCCAATGACTTTTGCTTTGGATTATTTCATTGGTTGAAGTTAAGTTCTTCTTTCAATTCAATTTTTTATTTTTAAGTTCAATTTTCTTAAAAGATATTTTTTGTGAAGATATAATAGATTTGATATCTTTAGGAATCTCCATAAGTCTTGTTGCCTCTCTTTGGTTTTCTCTAAGCTCTTCCTAGTTTTTTATCTTTTTTTATCTCTTTATTGAGTTTTTTGAGTTTGTAGTAAATTTTTCTCAATCTTCTCTTAATTAAATTATTTTAAAATTGATTTGTTTTGTATTTTTAGTTTTTGAATTTCTTGCAACTGTTTCTATTAAAATTTTTTTAAATTCTTTTTGATTACTTGAAATTTCTAAAATATTAATTAACTATATTTTGTTTTGTTTTTTAAGAGTTTTTCTATATTTTATTTATTAATGTCATAAAATGTCTTAAAATTTTCTTTGCATAAAACTCTTCTCTTGTATGATTTTCAATAATTTTTGTTTCTTTAAAGCTTTATAACTTTTTAACACTATTTTTATAATGCATTGTTTATTGCATGCATAGACTTTACATATTTATTAATGCTTCATATATATTGTTAGTTATTTGCATGATAAAATCTAAAATTTCTTTAAATTCTCAATTTTTATAAATCAATTTTTTTTTGAATTTCATTTTTATATTTATTACAACAAAAAATTTTTCTTGTTATGAATAAATTTCTTTTAAAAATTTTTCATGCATCAAAATAACAAATATATTGTTTTATTTAGCAAATATTAAAAAAAATTTAAAGATATGACAATAATTTTTTAATTAAATATAATCAGTAATATATGCTTCATAAGGCTTTTGATTTATTTTAAGTTTTTTTTCAAAATTTAAATATTTTTCTGTTCATTTCTCAGAGATAAATCTCCAAAAAAAGTTTGTTTTCCAATCTATGTTCCATGGTGAAAAGAGTACTCTTATTAGAAATTTATCTTCTTTGGAAACCATCATCATTTCTGGTTTCAGAACAGCTGTTTGACCGGAGCCTTTTTGGACTCCTCAATCTTGGACAGAAGTTTCCAAATTCTTCTCAGATCATGAAGATGGGCTATGAATTTTTTTTAGATGATGAAGATATTTGATCAGTTTGAAGTTGTTTAAAAACTCAAAAATTGAATTTCAATTGGTGATTTGATTACAATGATGGATGATAATAATAATTGTCCATTGTAGAATTTGAATTATTTGAAATTTTAAATGTTCTCATAAATTTCTTCTGATTGATAATCATGGAATTTTTTAAAAATAAAATTATGTAAAATATATTAACATGATAAGATGTTAATTGTTAATTTATTAAAATATTTGTGTGGATCTTCTGAAATAATGAAACAATCAATGGAAATATAGAATTTAAAATCTTTCTATTGAAATATTGAAGAGATAAATTAATATATGATAAAATTATGGTGAATGAAATCATTGATCATAATTATTGAAAGTTAATGAATCCTGTGAATATATATTTTGTTCATTTTCTTCTTAATAAGAATTATTTAAAGTGAATAATGTAACATAGAAATTAAATATATATTTTAAAAAATTATTGAAAATTCATAAAATTCATAGAATTAATTTTTTAAGTAATAATAATTTATATATTATGTATTAGAAGAACAATTTATAAAAACAAAGTTCAACTGAGATTCAATTTATTTTTTTATGTCTTTATTTAAAATAAAAAATATCAATATTTATAATTTTAATTTAATATATATATATATACACACACTATTTGTACTTTTTAATATATTTATTGTCTATATAATACGCATCAAATTTGCATCTTCTATATTATATATCCGATACAATGGACGATATATTATATACTTTATTATTTTATCAAACATACCAAACAATGCATCATATTTTGAGAAAAAAAAATCAATTTCAATACATATACGTACAAAGAATAATCAGGGAAATAATAATATAAAATTGTATACATAAAAGTTCAAAAACATCTCTATTCTTTAGAATCGTCAAATGTATTGGAAAAAAAAAATCTCTGTAATTTATCATATGTTTACAAGGAAAATATAATTTTTATTGAAAAATCATACTAGAGGCAGTTTAATCAAGAAAATAAAAATTGAAAAAATTGAAGTTTTGAAGATATATTTCCTCCAGTGTTTATTACATAAACAATAATAAAAATTGAAGGATCTAAAAATTTGAAGAAATATTGCCTCCAGTATTACATTGTTATTTTAGACGAATGGAAAATTGAATGATTGTTTGAAAAAATAATTTTTATCAAATATTTGTGCAATATTTTCTTTATGAATATAGACTGATTACTGTAAAAAAGAATAATGTTTTTAAGCTTTATCACAAACCGCAGGGTAATTAATCGTAAGTAATTATGCATCATTATGCTTGTACAACTTTGTAGCTGTGCGTTTTCTAAGATGTAAATAAATTATTGTGACATCTATAGTTCTTAGTGCATCAATTATTTGAGAGAATATTTTTTTTTTGATAATTATAATTTTTATAATTTTTGTATTTAATTTCTTTGAAATTTAAATTAAATTGTGAAATAAGAAATATTTAGAATTAATATTTTTATAATTAAAAACAATCTTTATTGCCATAATAAATTGTACAAAAACACGCTCTACAAAGTACAAGTTTGTTTCTTTAAAAAATAACATTTATAATTTTTATTTTATTTTATTTTATTTTTTTTTAACAAATTTAGATCAACGTGAAACACATTATGTTCTTTATAAATATACTTAAACACATTTATATAAATAGTTTTTAAATACACAAATTAATTCTGTTTACACACACATACATATATGTGTGTATATATATATATATATATATATATATACACATACATATATGTATATATATAATAGTAAAAGAAAATTTGACAGATTAGCAGTTTCGTTTAAAACTTTAAAAGAAAAATGAAAAAAGAAGAAAGTTTTATTAAATAAATAATTGCAGAAATTTAATAAAAGGACGGATTTGATTTATCTCCTATTGTTTTCTCTAATTTTTATAATTTTATAATTTATCTTTTACTATTATTTTCATTAATTTTTTATAATTTAAAAAAAATAATAAAAAATTAAAAATAATTTTACAAAAATAGTGGTTGTAATATAAAAAACTTTTTTCATCAATAAAATAATTCTGTAGATTAATAACTTTATTAATCTCAATCTACAGAAAATTTTATGTTGTAAAGATTATCACAGACATGTTTTAAAAGCCCATGAAACTGTGCTTTCACTGTGCTTTCGAACGAACATACAAAATTCAGTGTTTAAAATTAATACTGGCGATTTATCTCCTCAAGAGAATTCTTTCAGCAGAAAAATAGAATTCTATGCTAAACTAATAATAGAAAAAATAACAAAAAAATACTTGCTTTCGTGAAAATATAAATTTTTAATCTTCAATCTTAATTACTATTATTAAAATTTAAGTAGAAACTATATTAATTGGTCATTGGACGAATTTAAATAATTAGTAAAAGACATTCCACAAAGAAATTTAAATTTTCAATATATTATTTAGACAAATTAAAGAAAATATTTTAGATAAAAAAATATGTGTAAAATATTTTCCAAACTTTTTTCTTATTCCAAAATCCCATAGTGATCTTTAATAAAGATTTTCATCTTATATTATTAATAAATATTGTCTGCTTCGGTAATAATAAAAGTTTTCTTAAAAAAATTCTGTGAAACCAAAATTGAGCGCATTTATTTATTGCAAAAAAATCTCTTATAAAAAAACTTGTTAATTTAAGAGATTAGATTATTCCATAAAAAATAGCGCCCAATTTTCGTAAAAAATAGGAATTTCTCCTAAAATATTAAATAAGCATCCTCATATTTTTGTCTTGAAGATTATTCAAATTTAATTTCCTTTTAATTTTGATTATTTAAAATTCATCATGGAAACTTTTTTCTGTGTCCACCATTTTGCTTCCTAGGAATAGATCCATTTTGCTCAGAATTTCGGATAAATTCAATTTTCCATCTAGATTGGTATCTGACACACTGATTAAATGTTGGGCCTCTTGTATAGCGTGTCTTGGATTTCTTGGATCTATATACATCTGAAATAATATAAATAAATTTATAATTATTTAACAATATATTTTAATTAATTATTTTATTTTTAATTTTTATTTCTTTTTTTTTTTTTTTTAGTCCTGCTTGAGATGATTAAGTGTACATACCAGAAGCTCTGTCCTATCGGCTTTTCCATTTTTATTCTTGTCGATAAGATGTCTGAACTCCTTCCGTCTGTCTTCACTTCCTCCTATCATCTCATGTTTGTCTTCTTTCAATTCTAAACCCATCCCTTCTGCAGGTAAATCCGAAAACTCATCTTCTGTCAATTGTTCATCTCCATCGCGATCTAAAATAAAAGTAAATATAAAAATTAATTACAAATTTATTATTATTAATATTGCAAGATAAATTATATTAATATCATGAAGAAGAAATTAGAAAAATTAATGCTATCGATGAAATTAATGCTTTATGAAGAAAAAAAAATGAAAAAAACATAACATTGATATTTATGTAGAAATAATTTTATAAAGAAATAAGTTTCCATACCGAATTTTTCAAATAGATCTTCAACCATTTGTAATAATGCTCTATGACTGCTTTCAGGATGAGTAAAAGCTAAAAACTCGTCGAGTGCTAATCTTTCCGGATCATTTCTGGCTGCTTCCGACCATCTGGCTCTATCTCTCATTATATTCTCTTTCAAAGTTCGTGACATGTCGCTATGCTTCTTATCGTGCGAGCTCACATAGCTCTCAGGAAATCCGTGGGATCTGAGAAAGTACGCGTGATATTCTTCCCACGAGACCTCGCCTGAAATATTAAAATATAATAAGATTTTAAAAATCTCTTTCATATTTTTTATTATTCATTTTATTTGCAATATGTAAATGCAAAAAGTATTTTTTGTTTTTTTTCTCTTTAGTTTTGCTTTTTTAAATTTCTTCTACTGAAGAAATCTGTATATTTTTTTATTTTAAAAATATTATTTTACGTTTAGTTTTTTTTTTAAATTTTTTCTTTCTTTCAGATAATCACATCCATTATTAAGTTAGAAATACGATATTTATTTAATTTTTTAAAAATCTATCCAAGAATTATTATCAAGAGATTAATTACCATTTCGAGGATTATTATCTATCGCAGTGAATAAACCAATATTCTCTTTCATAGCTCGGCTTATATGGTCCGTGATCTTTGTATGAATCCATCTGGCCAATTCCTGAATATCCAACAATTGATCATGATCGGTATCAGCTCTTTGAAATATATCTTCGAGTAATATTCTCGAATTTTCTTGATTCTCTTTCATATTCTTTATATTCTGATCTATTTCCTTGTAATGTTCCAAATCTCTTTTGTCGATCGTCATTGCCTCTAATTCTATGAAAAGATTCTCAGTCATAGATTCTTTATCATCTTGTATAGATATAGTGGACGTTAAGCTCTTTAAGGGCACGTTTCTATTGTACTTGAAAAAGAGTAGAGACAAATAGATAACGAAAGACACAAGGATTGTCCAACGGATAAATCGGAAGCATCGCAAATTTGGCTTACAATTAACTTTGTGTATCTATGAAGAAATGATTAAGAAAAATGAAATTAGATATTTGTGTATTTATAAAATGAGATTGATATTTCTTGTTAAAAGGAATAATTTAAAGTTTATTCTTTTTTTATAAAATATAAAAAATATAAAAAAAATATATAAAGTTTATTTCTAGAGAACTAAAATAATAGATAGGTCTTTTTCTTTTTTTCTTTTCCTTTCATAAATTTAGAATCTTATAAATTTTAAGAATATTTATGAAAGGAAATGGAAAAAAGAGTTTTAATTCAATATCTATTTCCAAGAAATTAAGTTTTTAAGATTTAAATTTTTATCTTTCTTCTTTTTTCTTTCTTAAGTTTAAGAATCTTAGAAATTTTAAAAATTCTTTATCTTTAAAGAAATTTGAAACCAATTCTAATAATCACTGCTAAAAAAGTTCTGAAAAAGTAGAAAAAGAAAAATAGATAAGAAAAGTATCCCAAGTTACTCACAAAATAGGAAAAATACATGATTGTTTAAATTTATAAT